ACGTGCTCCGGCAGGCCAACCGAGCCGACGCGGAGCGTCGCTCCTCCGGCCATGCCACCGGCTCGCTGCGCGGTGTCCCCGTCCTGCTCAAGGACAACATCGCGACACGCGACGTGCTCAACACGACGGCCGGCTCATTGGGGACGCCGATCCTCCCGCACGGAGGTTACATGCAGTTCCTGAAGAAAGATGGACTGAGGGGGAAGAGGATCGGCGTCCCCAATTGTTTCTTCAAAGAATATATGGACAGACGCAGCTGAATGTGTACAAGAAACACCTAGCCACAATGAGGTAGTAACCGTTTACATTTCACTGACGATCAATGAACGTGACAGGTTAGAGGTTACTAGTGTAAATTGTTTACAACCATGAACTGATTCTTGATTTTTTTTTCCCAAAGGAAACTTGGAGTAGTGGTGGTGGAGAAAGTGGACGTCGCTGCCAATTTGACCGCTCTATTGGTTGAAATCGGTTCCAACGAGAGGATTGCGATGCAAGCAGAATTCAAGCTGAGCATAAACGCATACTTGTCAGACTTGGTCTACTCCCCGGTCCATTCGCTAGCAGACATCATAGCTTTCAACAACAAGCATCCTGTGGACGTACGTGTAGTCACCCAAAAAGTCTTATATTAGTTTACGGAGGGAGTACAAGAAAACAACCCGATCCATCTTTCATCTCTTCACTTGTCATAGGTTCAAACAATATAGATCCAGGTCTTCAATTGTTTTATACATTACTATTGCAGAGATCACGAGGCAATAAAATTCTTGAAAAAAGGTACTCCCTTCTTCCCAAAATATAAGGTGCGGTTGACTTTTCATGGTATTTGATGCATGACTTTGACCATTAATATATATCAAAGTACCTGGATTGAACATCTATAAATGACATCGTCGTATTTGTCTTGCAAACAATTTTATTTCATATGTCGATGCACTAATTTTATAGACATATGATACAATACGTGAAAATCATAGTCAAAGTTGTGCAATGAAGACCAGAAAAGTCAAGCGGTGCTTTATGTTTTGGGAAGGAGGGAGTAGAAACAACACGACAGTTAGTGGAACTTACTCTTTATGTAGGCTATTGCAAAATCCATTTACATGTTGGTGCAGGAGAGGCTGAAAGACTTCGGGCAGCCAGACCTTATCGTGGCCCAAAACACAAACGGCATTGGCCCCGTGGAGAGAGCCGCAATCCGTCGCCTGAAGGAGCTAAGCACAAATGGGATAGAGAAGCTAATGATGGAGCACCAATTGGACGCGATTCTGGCGCCAACAGCGATATTTCTAGCCTTCCCGCCATCCATGTCCATCCTGGCATCGCTGTGCCAGCAAGGTACGATGAGCAAGGGTTCCCCTTTGGCATATGCTTCGGCGGGCTGCAGGGGTATGAGCCGAGGCTGATCGAGTTTTTTTATTTTTGAGGGGTATGAGCCGAGGCTGATCGAGATGGCCTATGCTTTCGAGCAGGCAACCAAAGTGAGGAGGCCACCCATGTTCAAGGCCTGGCTAAATACAACTTCTTAAGTAGTGACGATGTAACACTCTACGAGCCTAAATAGGCTCCACTTGCACTTTTCTCTCTTGTTGTATAAGAATAAATCTGGAAGTATTACTTCTTTGGGCCAGCAAGTAACTCTGCATAAACTAGCAATGTCTAAAGGTGAAGCAACAGGCACCATCTACATGTAAACAACAGAGTACTCCAGCCAATGTTGCACCAAAAGAAAACACGTCCATCTCCTCCTTACGCTTCTCTGGGACAAGAAAGCAATTGATTTAAAAATCACATGGAAATACCACCGAAAATCTTGTAATTAAGACCCGGTCTATTTCCCATCGCAAGATTTCAAATTGCTTCGTCCTCAAAGGCACAAGCATATCATTTCCCCCTCTCATCCATTCCTCGCCCCTACAGCTCTTGCACCGACGTCATCAGATCAGCTATGCTTCACGTGACATTTTTCAAATTTTTGATAAAAGGAACATGAGTCGCCCAATTTCATTTCATTTGAAATTGATAAGCCAACCAGATCCAAAATCAGTTCAAGGGGGCCTCTACCCCAGGCTTTCAGCCGCAGCCAACTCTACCTGGTTTTTACAGTTTTTGAGTTTCAGCATAAAAGACTGCAACTCTTCTACAAAGAAAAAGAAAGCAGGACATCAACCCATACGCAGCACATCCTACATCAGGCTTCGGAACTACAGCGACACTACCTTACAGCGACATAACTATAACAAAATCCGCATCATCGTTCTTTGTCCATAGTACCAACTTTATTATAATTTCTTACTCTGATTTCTATGTTACCTAAGGCTGGTATTGGATAAACCTTTCTTGTGTTTTGTTTCATTTGTACATATGTACTTTATTTAATTGTTGTATGAAGATATGATAGAACAATGTTCTACAGTTTTGGGATTAAACAAAGAGCAGGGTCGGTGGTGAACAAGCAAACAATACATAACATAGTGAGGGTAGATCCCCCGAGATCTGTCTTAAACCGTCGGCCCCAACAGGCGCTTGCAGATTACCAGAAGCAGGGCATTACCTATGCATGGCAACAAGTTGCTCAGCGGGTGAGTGAAGCGATTGACGGCCACTTGTCGCCCGTTGTGAACCCTGTCATGGTATAATGCACGTTGGACGATTGGTGTCAACGCCCATCCTCCAACACCTCAAGTTCCTAATTACGGAAGAGAACACAAAATGAGCAGTGAGCCCCCTTCATCGGTGCACGGACATGATTGATTTAGATTAATGTGAACAAAGTTCAATTAGTTTGTAGTGTACCAGATCGGAATAGTAGCATGCTGATGGCATGTTCAATGGCATGTTCCTGGCATGTGGAGAGTCCGGTGAGTCGTCAACTTTTTCAAGGAAGGGCCAGAAACCAGACTTGTCAACTGAATCTGGCTCATCTCTACGAATCAACTCGCGCGCCGTCTCGAGGTTGGCAAGGATGTCTGATATGGCGGGCCGGTCCTTCCCGGTAAACTTCACGCAGCATCGTGCAATCTGCGCCACACGCTTCAGTGCATGCAGCTGCCATGGCGTTGGCTCCGGTACAGGTCGCCTATCCAACATATCTTCAATGTTACCAGCCTCAATGATGGGGAGTGCAAAGGATGCCAGATCTCTATTCATCTCCTCCTCTGCATGGGAAAACGCCTTTTTCCCCGTCAGAACCTCAAGCATAACCACGCCGAGGCTATACACGTCGCTCGCCGGAGTCAGATGACCTGTATGGAGGTATTCAAGGTCGATGTATCCAAGTGTGCCTCTAACGGTGACATCCAACCACGGCACCTCACTCGCCATGTCCCAGACGAGCGACAAGCCGAAGTCTGACACACGTGGTACCCAGTTGCCGTCGAAAAGGATGTTACTCGGCTTGATGTCCCGATGGATGATCGGCGGGTTGGCATGACGGTGCAGGTGCTCGATGGCGTGTGACACGCCGAGGAGCACATCAATGCGCATCTTCCAGGACACCGTCACCGGTGACAATGTGGAGGAGCCCTGAACAGCGTGCAGGTGGTCGAAGAGTGTGCCATTCTCCATGTACTCGTAGACAACCAACCTCTGTTGCTCTTCTCGCTCTTCCGGCTCCTTTGTCCGCCTTGTTAGCAGGCCTTTTTTTCTCTTTTGCCGGATTGTTGGTAGGCGCATTTTTTTCTTGCTCACAGTCACGCACGATCCAAGGAGGTGGACGATGTGTTTGTGTTGGAGCCGTGGTAGGGTGTGGAGCTCCATGCTGAATGCCTTTATGGAGTAGTCATCGTTATTGATGCGCTTGATGGCCACCTCTCGCCCATCGTGAAGCCTGCCTTTGTACACCTTACCAGAAGAACCTTGACCAATCACGGTGTCAAGGGCCAAGTTATTGGTGGCAGCCACAATCTCCGCGAACGTAAACTCCTTGGTTCCATGCAGTAGTACCTCTTGGGCAACCTCTGTAAACTGTTGAAAAGATAGACCGCAAATGAACTGTGAGCAATTTGCGCTATCATCCATGCGATCGATCAGTATTGAAGTTGTACATACCTGCAGCTGGGCTGGCTGTGGAAGTGGAGACGGTGGTTCATCTCTGGTGGAGCCATCTTGAACAAGTACGCTGTAGATTCGTTCGAGGCGACGTGTTATGCCGATGTGGCTGATGACGGGGAAGAGGATTAGGTAGGAGTCGATCTTGCTCTGCACCTCCCTGAACTTTTCGGCCGTCCTGCCGGCCATGATGAACTGGTACGCCGCGCTCCTCCCCTGGCAGGACACGACGAGCTCGTGGGCGTCCCGAAGAGCATCGCCCAGCCCGGCCAGCGGCTGCGCCGCCTCTGGCTCCTGCACGTGCGGCAGCAGCTGCGCGATCATGAGGGCCCGACGTGCGAGCTGCTCGCACTCGGTCCTGTTCTGCCGGGCCGTCATCGCGGCCTGCACGATCATGGAGATGAGGCCGCCGACGTCCGCGCCGACCAGCTGCGCCACCGTCGCCGCCTGACCCAGCCCTGTCCACAGGGCCATGGCAGTCTCCACACACGATCGAGACTCGAATGGATGGCTCCTGGTTTCTGCTCCCTGTTGCCCTGAAACTTGTGCAACGGAGACGGAACAGATCAGTACGGTACACAGCAAGCACGCACGGTGGCAAGCACGCACGCCGGCAGCACAGACAGCAAGCACGCCGGCCGCACGCACGCACGCACGCACACAACCCCTCTGCCTCTCTGCCTCCCCTCAGATCCTCGCCACCGCAGCGCCCCCAAAATCCGGCCCGTCGTTCGCGCCCCCAAATCCGCGGAACAGCCGCGCCCCCCGAAATCCGCCGGACTGCCGCGCCCCCGAAATCCGCCGAGCCGTCGCACACCGAAATCCACCGGACCGCCGTGGCCCCAAATTCGCCGAGCCACCCGCGGCCCCAAAATCCGCCGGGCCGCCGCGCCCCTAGCCCATCCTGCCGTGGCCGCCGCGACATAGGACATTCGAGAGGAGAGAGAGCGCGGAAGGCCGGGGAGAAGAGAGGGGATCGGAGGGATCGGAGGCTGACCTCTGCCGCCGCCGACGCTCTCCTTCGCCAGCCACCACCACAAGTCGCCCGCGAGAGTGAGGAGAGGTAGCGGCCGTCAGTTGGTCTCGATGGGTAAAGCAAGCCGCTTTTGTGGTCGCGGTTTGCGGGGCGGCGGCGGCTTCCCGGAAACTCCCCGGGAGGGAGGCTCCCACGCGGATACCGGTGACCGACCGACCGACGACGGTCACGCGGCTGCCGGGGCGCACCATCATCACGCATCCCAATGATTCTTCCTCGCCTTATCCGAAAATTCTACTCCCTCTATAATTGCCAATCCAAAATGATAAGCTGTTTTTACAACTAAAAAAGTGTCCCTCCGGCACTTTTTTTACAACTAAGATTTTCATTCAAGAAGAAAAAGCAAAAAAAAATAAAAAATGTAACTTGTCCTACGAAAAGAAGTTGTCATGCTTGACAACTAAAGTTGTTGTCCTCGCGACACTAAATTTGTCACAGAAGTTGTCATGCTTGACAACCAAAATGAAAAAACTTCATCGAGAGTGTTCCCTCAAAAGAAAAAAGTTCAAGGCCGCTCCGGAAAAGTAGGATCTGATCGCACGAGGCAATCAGGAGACGACGAGGCCCTTGCGCGCCGCCGGTGACGCCTCCGGTTCCCTCTCTCTCCGTCGGCCGCTCCGGCGGCAGGAGGGAGGGGGAACGTCGGGTCTGTTCGCTAGGTGGGTGTGTGGTAGGGTTAGGGTTGAGGGAGACGTTGCCGAGGCCGTTGCGGTGGTGTCGCGTCGGAATAAGTTTCTCCGGGCTCCGTTCGCGGTCAGGCGAGGCTTTTGCCTTCATCTAGGAGCCAGCGGGGTTGGGGATCCCCGGATCTCGTCGATGTCGCGGGTTATGGTGGCTGGAGGTCAATCGGCACTGACCGTTTGGGTTCTCAGATGGGCGATGGATGCAGGGAGACGAAGACCCTTCTTCTTCCTTGTTGGTATGATTTGCTGCTGTTGTTCTTCTCCTTCCTCTGTGCTGATGCTGGTGGGAGATCCTGCTTTGTCCCGGCGGATGGCCCGGCCGCCATGCTGAACCGGTCGGATGACTCGAGTTCTCTTCCTTCCGGAAGGGACACTTTTCGCAGTACTCAAAGCCAAAAATGGCGACGGCTGTTGCAGGTGTATTTGATTGATGTACATGCCCTCTCAGCGCTGGTGTCAAGAAAGAAGGAAGCAGCGTGGCGGAAATTGTACCGTGGTCGAAGATGATGACCTGCTTGCGACTGGTTGCAGATCCTTCAGCTGCAGGGGTCTTCTCTTAAGATTCAGGGATGATGACCCAGGGCTCCGGAGATCTTCTTGTGTTATGGTTGTTTTAGGATACTCTAGGTGTGCATGGTTCTTTGTGTTTGCGTTTCAGTGTGCTTGTAAGGGTCAACTTTGTTGTACTCATTCGTGATACGAATGAATAACTTCTCAAAAAAAAGACAACCAAAATGAGGAATAATGTGTTTGTGCCACACATACAGCAATTATCAGGGTTTGTTTTTATTTAGAAAAAGAGGGGCTACCATATCTTTTCCTCTTGTGCGTACTCTGTATGGTTCATTTCTGATCAAACAAGACCAGAGCAAATGTCATTTTCCTCTAAAGGAAAAAGAGAGGCTACCATTTTTGATTATTTTTCCTTCCTTCTTGAAAGTGCTAGTATCGACTAGAGGGGGGGGGGGGTGAATAGGCGATTTTTGTGAAAGTCTTCAAAACTTGGAAGTTTAGAAGACAAACAACAGAAATAACCTAGTTGATATGCAGCGGAAGATAAACTATCTTAAGCGAGCCATAATCAAGTATGCAATGATGTGAAAGTACATGACTAATAGCAGCTAAGTAGTAAGGATCAGGATGGAAGATAGTATGAAGCCAATCGACAGTAGTAGTCAAACAATGAAGTCAAACAGATAGACATATGGGCAGTGACTTCACGAAGACAAACTTAAGTAAAGGATGGAAAGGGATAGAACCAGTTGCTTGTTGAAGACACATGATTTGTTGGACCAGTTCCCGTTGCTGTGACAACTGTACGTCTGGTTAGGCACCTTAGCTCAAGGGGAATAAGGTGAAGACACGGTCTTCTGAGTTAAATCTCAGCCTCCCTAACCAGACGTACAGTTGTCACAACAACTGGAACTGGTCCAACAAATCTCGTGTCTTCAACAAGCAACTGGTTCTATCCCTTTCCATCCTTTACTTAAGTTTGTCTTCGTGAAGTCACTGCCCATATGTCTATCTGTTTGACTTCATTGTTTGACTACTACTGTTGATTGGCTTCATACTATCTTCCATCCTGATCCTTACTACTTAGCTGCTATTAGTCCTGTACTTTCACATCATTGCATACTTGACTATGGCTCGCTTAAGGTAGTTTATCTTCCGCTGCATATCAACTAGGTTATTTCTGTTGTTTGTCTTCTAAACTTCCAAGTTTTGAAGACTTTCATAAAAATCGTCTATTCACCCCCCCCCTCTAGTCGATACTAGCACTTTCAATTGGTATCAGAGCGGGCCATCCAACAGTGGTTAGCTGACCATGACTGTATGCTTGCTCAATTGTATGAGGCCTTGGTGGCGAAACAGGAGTAGTGGCAACATCTGAGGCTTCAGGCTGCACAACAGGTGCTTCGGGAGCAGTTGCCTCATTAGCTTCAAGTGCAGTGCCCTCATTGGCTTCAGGCACACTGGTTGGTTCAAGCTCCACATTAGCGTCAGCCATGACAACGTCATTGGCTTCATTGGCATTGGTGGTGGCAGCTTCAACATTTTCATCCTCCTCTTGATGAACAGGAGGGTCGAGCACTGGCACGTTCACTTCAGGAACAACTTCTTCTATAACTGGGGAGGTAGGGACACGTACGTCTTCTTGATTCTCTTCGGCTGATGCAGCTGGAATGTCTTCAGCAGCTTGGGCTTCAGACATGGAGACATTCACAGTTGGAGTTGGTTCAGAAAATACTTGACGTGCAACAGGTTGGCGTTGCACTTCTCCTTCTGGAACGCTCGACAGAGTGACTTGAGGCCTTTGTCCTTTGCGAAGCCTGCGAAGTGCTGACAACGCCTTTGGAGATGGAGTTGGCTGGGCCTCAAAGTCTTCATGTTCTTCTTGCACGGGTGGTGTAGCTTGTTGTTGTTGTTGGGGGGTACTTGGGGAGTCTTGTTGCTGTGGGTGATCAGCCCACGATGCATCCTGAGCAGTTGGCGTCAGAGGACGACCAATGCTGATGAGTTCGCTGTTCTTAAGAACAGGCGATGATACCATGTTGTGTTCGATCTGAGGAAGAACTTCATCATCGTCAACATTGTCATGATGACCAATGTCTTCAGCAGCGGTGGGTTCAGCTGCTGGAATATCTTCAGCTTCATGAGCCTCCAAGGGAGCAGGATCATGAACTATCATCTGTCTTTCTTGATGTTTAGACGCAGGGCGAACCACTGAGATGGGTTCAACAACCAGGGGCTCTGTGGGAGCAGCCCGATTTTTCTTGGTCTTGCGCTTCTTCTTGGAGGGAGCAGCATCAGAGGCTTCAGTATTCTTCCTTTTTCTGGCTTCAGCCTTTGCAGCCCTCGTTTTGTTCTGTTCTGAAGCGGTTGTGGTGACCTTTGGCTTCGAGCCAGTCATGCTACTTGGGAAGATAATGCGAGGGGCTTCTTGGCTTGAGGGTGCAGGCTGGTCAGCAGGAAGCTTCTTCTTTTTCTTTGCAGCCATCCTGGGGTCAATGCCAGGACGGCCAAGTGACTTGCGCTTCTCAGCCTCATTGTAGGCAAGCACACACTTATCAGCCAAACTCTTCATACGCTCGCGAGAGCCTTGAGCTTCTTGGTGCTTCTTGAGAAAGGCTTCTTTGAGCTCATGCAGCATGACCTTGAAGTTTTTGACATCTTGCACACTGAGTTTCGTAACATGCTTCTTGAACTGAGCCTTTTCATAATCAATTTTGTTCTTCAGCTCAACAATGCGCTGAGCAAGAGCTAGCTCAGAAGCAATGACGCCATTAAAGGCGACGCTTAGGCCAATGGGAAGCTGCAGATCATCAAAGCTGAGGTTGGGGGTGTCGAACCACTCATCAATGAAGTTATGAATGATTGCCACATCAAAGAGAGGCAAGTTGTTGACGATTTCTGCTTCTTCCTTGCTCTTGATTAATTGCTCAAGGGCATCATCTGCAAGATCTTCATCACTGGACAGATCAAAGGGAACTTCACGCAGTATAGCGAAAGGAGTCAACGCTTGATCAGTATGCCTGACAAGTTGCTTTTTCTTCTCCGTCTTTTTGGAGATACGCGATTGATCTTCAGACTGCACACTGGCTTCAGGAGGTGTAGTTGCCAGAGGCTTCACGCGTAAAGCTTTTGGAGGTGCAGATTTAGAAGCCTTTATCTTCTTTTGCTTCTGTGGCTTCGAAGAAGGAGCTGGGGCTTCATCAGTGTCAGCATCATTATCTGAATGATCTACCTTGGCACCT